TAAAATGGGCGAATTCTTCATTGTCACTAGCAGTTGTAAATCCTCGTTTTTAGATACATTTGCATCGATAATTCAGAAATCATTGAATGACGTGAGCGTTCAGTGTCGGTTCGACTTGATACCGAATATGACAAAAAGAAGTAGCTAAGTGTATTCAAATTTATACTATAAAATGCATATCAGAGTTGAGGATTTACATTGAATACCGAAGCACTGTCGGAGGCAAAACCAGGCGCCGGCATTTCCGCGCTCGGGGCGAATAACGCGCCCGAGGAATGGACGTTCGGTTTTTCAAGCTGATCATCAAAAATAGAAACGTAAAAAGTGTCATTTTTCAAACCGGCGGGGAAGATTAAGCCCGGAGTTCCCGGGTGCTGTCGAGATGGAAGGAACGCAGGCAAAAAATGTTGGACTTTGACTGGAATTTTCAACCCGTTCTTATCCACTCGAGGTATGGCACACAGCCCCGTCTATTATTTATTCTGATCTTTACGAAACTTTCTTCAATGGCAGGGCAATTAAATACGCAGCAACTTTTTTCATGAAATTCATTCGCAGAGGAAGGTGAAGCTCTCCGAGAAAGAGATCAAGAAGTTATTCCAATAAATGGAAAAATCGGAAATAATTACGACAATTCGTATAATAAATATGAATAATAATAATTAGAAATAGATATGCCTTTGCGAAACGACATATTTTTCCAAATATAATCTCCGAATAAGCAGTCAAGCGAATATTCTTCCCAGAGTCTCTCTCATCTCTGAAATTACCTTTCTACAATTCTGTTCGCCTCTGCTTTGCATAGATTCTCCAATAAACGATCCGCGCGAGATCGATCCCGGAATAAAATTCCTCTGGAATGACTTCTTCGCGGAGCGACCCTAATTTTCGTTGGCGAATAATAGCAGGGAAGCTTTCCGGAGTGGAGCGACCGTTTCGCGACGAGATCGGTCCATTAACGTGGAGTAGTCTCACCTGGCTCGATTGTTCCAATCCGTTCAAGCTGTTCCACCTTGGCGATAAATTCCACGGACCCCGACGAGGAGACTTCGTTCCTGGATAAATTTCGCTTCGTGCGATTTCGAGAACGTGCAACGTGCTTCGCGAGACGCGTTTCCAATCTCATTGCAGCCGTGCAAGTTCGACACCCACGGCGTTTAACGCCAGAACTGTCAAAATGGTCAACACGACCATTTGAATATTTTCGTTTATTTAGATATTTTATAGATGTGAAACAGTGTGTTTTCAGAGACTCGAATGATTATTCGTAAAATACATAAATCTGTTCAACACCAAAATGGTCAAAACGACCATTGATAGCTGATAACTTTTGTTAGAAATTTTATAGATGTAAAACAGTGTGTTTTCAGAGACTTGAATGATTCTTTGTAAAATACATAAACCTGTTCAACACCAAAATGGTCAAAACGACCATTGATAGCTGATAACTTTTGTTAGAAATTTTATAGATGTGAAACAGTGTGTTTTCAGAGACTCGAATGATTCTTCGTAAAATAGATAATTTTGTTCAACACTAGAATTAGCAAAATGGTCAAAATGACCATTAATAGTTGATAATTTTTGTTGTAAATTTTATAGGTACAAAGAATGTGTTCTTTTGAGACGTGAAAATTCCGAAATTGAAAATATGAATAAATCAAAGTTTATTTTATGAAAAATTCGAAAAATCGTAACAACATAACAGTACGTTATAATTCTTTTCGATCGAGAAACAAGTGAGTCACTATAGTGGCGTATACAGTTCAGAAAGTCACTGTAGCGGTGACTATAACCTAAACCTAAACAATTCCTAACCTAAATCTTACACAAATTCGCATTCTGTTTCTTTCATTCACCTGCTTTGTGTCCCAAATTTCAACAATACTGTTTCACGATTGCAACCTCTTAGTTACAGACAAAATTTCTCGCGATGTGTTATACTTCTGTATGGCAAGGCCTGGAAATGAAATTGGAAATACACCCGACGATACTTTGCACTATGTAATTACTTAGAATTCGTATAAACTTTAAATAAATTAAATTTTCAATTTGAATGAAATTCTAAAATTGAAAATATGAATAAAGATTTGTTTTGCAAAGAGTTCGAGAAATCGTAACAACAGTATCTCGTTCAGGAAGATGACATACGCGAAAATAGTCACTATAGTAGTGTTTCTTTTCGTTTTTCCTAGTTAGCTAAGAGTTAAAATAGTCACTATAGTAGTGTCTCTTTTCGTTTTTCCCAGTAACTAAGAGGTTAAAATAGTCACTATAGTAGTGTCTCTTTTCGTTTCTCCTAGTAGCTAAGAAGTTAAAATAGTCTCTATAGTAGTGTCTTTTTTTGTTTTTCCTAGTAGCTAACAGGTTAAAATAGTCAATATAGTAGTGTTTCTTTTCATTTCTCCTAGTAGCTAAGAGGTTAAAATAATCACTATAGTAGTGTTTTTTTTCGTTTCTCCTAGTAGCTAAGAGGTTAAAATAGTCTCTATAGTAGTGTCTTTTTTTGTTTTTCCTAGTAGCTAACAGGTTAAAATAGTCAATATAGTAGTGTTTCTTTTCATTTCTCCTAGTAGCTAAGAGGTTAA